AAAAAAAAAAAAAGGGGTAAATGTTGACGTGTATCCTTGCCTGGTGTGTGATGAGGTGAGTTACTTCGGTCCCCCGTTTATGCACTTGTAAGAAGCTGCTCCTTTAATAAGGTTTTTAGTTAAAGGGTAAGGACTGCAGTGCCAGTGACAGAAAACATATGTTGCCACACAGAGCAGGATTTTTTGGAGATGGACGTGTCATCAGGTGTATCATGATTTGGGTCTAGTACTGGGGCAGTTTCATCATCAGCCTGCAAGACAGAGATGCAGAAAGTCTATTGGAGAAACACTGGGGACTTACAAAGTTATCAATCGTTAGGTATAAGTCCACATTTAATGCTAATAATGTTTACAGTTACTGAGGTTTTTTCCATCTTGGGATCTCTGAATACTTGGACTCTCTGATGGTTTGTATTTTTTTTCCTCACGTGACTACAACAGGAGTTTAAACTTTTTATTCCCTGATGGGTTTAAAATGTTTGTGTTCATAACTCGTCCTCAGCGTGTCCTGTGATTGCCCCAAGAATCTGTGCAAGTGGGGCGTTTTCACTGTTTGCGTTTGGGGGGCTCTGAGCTGGGTCAGTCATGAATAATAGCAGCTATGCATATTTGTATGATGGCAAGGCTGTATCCGAACATGCCTTATAAATATAGCTTGCATGTAGAGAAATAAAAGCGTTTTTTAATATGTTACTGAATACTGTATGCTTAGTTCGGGTGCGCAACTGGACCTGGCCGCTCTTGTGCGAAACCCTGGGGTTTTGACTGCCGCAACAGATCCCAGAGCTGCAGACCAGATACAGTCAGTGAAGCGCCTGAAAAAAGCATCACAGGCTGTAACCTTGTGCCAAATTAAAATTAACTTTTAAAATTTCCCAGTCATTTGACTGAATCAGATATTTGGAAGACAAATGTGTTCTTATCTCTTTTATATTCAGTCCCATCCACAGAGATGGTGAATGATGTTGTTAGAAATTAGCAAGGTCTTTTGCCTTGCGGGGCTTTTCATTAAAACAATTAGGTATGATGGGAAGCAGTACTCTCTGACTCTCAAAAAAAACCTACTACTTTTTTTTTTTTATATAGTAGCATTTCTTACCTTGACTGCTTTTCAAACATGTAAAATAAATGTATTTTATAATCCACAAGAGTTTTCTTTGGTTTCATTTGCTAAGATTTCAAATGCAAGGAAGAGGGGTATGTGGTAACCCTCTTCCAAATCGTGGATAGGAATTTAGGCTGTGTCAGTTGTTTTTAGTATTGGTGATTGCAAGAAGAATGTAATTCTGTTTGCTGTTTTTTGCTTAGCAAGGAATGTATCCCATAGCTAGCTTTAATGTGTTGGTGACCTCTACAGCTATTTAAGAGGAAGCACAGGAAGTTGAATGAGAGTCCCCACATGTGAAACAGTTAATTTCATGTTAATTGAAAAAAAAAAACTTTTTTTTTTTTGTAAGTGAATGAAAGTGAGTTGGGAGATATTATTTTGCCTTATTTCATATATACTTGATCAGAGTGCGTTAGCAGGGGACCTGTTTCTGATTTTCAGATATATAGATTTCAGTATAGTACATCTTACCATCTTAAGGTGGCATGTGAAAAAAATACTATGAGGCAGACTGCTAACTTTTTTATTTTTTATTTTAGAAACCAAGTGCTGGAAATGTTTGATCATGCGTATACCAACTATATGGTAAGTCAAATACTGTTTGTTTAATTTTTTCGGATTTGTTTGTTGTTCCTGACATGAGAGGAAAAGTGACTTACAGAACATGCTGAAGGTGTAGTGAGGAGGTGGGAGGGGGAAAAACAAAGCTAAAATGATTAAGAGCGTCTGTATATTACTTCCAAGAAGAGCAGGTAGAGCTCAGAATTGCTATCAGTAACTACGTTAATCTGTGCTTGATCTTTCCTCAAACTGGTTTGTGTCGCATTAGACTGCGAGCAGTTTTCATCTTGGGTAAACTCTTTGGTTTGGAATTCCAGGCTCTCAAAACTATTGAAAAAGGAAATTTAAATATGAAATTATAATAATATTTAAATAGGAAATTATAGTATGTCTCCTGTAGTGAGATAAGTTAGATACAGTTTGGTAGCTCTTTTACAAACCAATAGTATTTGCCATGAACAAAGAGGGGGTTTTGATGTCATGCTTACAGTACATGCCCTCTTCTAAGTATGTGACCGTCATATGACGGTGAGGCACACTTTCTATGATTTCTTTTAATGCGGCTTGTGATTTTCTGTGCAAAACAGTTTGCGGTCTCTTTCAGGTGTGGTCATCTTCTGGAATCTAATCAACCTTGAAATAAGTTTAATTTAGATGTATTGCAGAATAAAGAATTGCTTTACTCAGGTAGACTGGCTTTCCTCAAATGAAAGTAATACGTTTCTGAGGAGAAACTGTAGATTTGAAAAACGTAGAATATTTATGCTTACCGAGTTTATGTTAACAGGTTTTCTTGTACGTTCTTTGCAGCTGTTACAGCAGATACCTCTTTTTTTTCCTTCTCTTTTTCTAAGTTGCACCAGCTCGCACATGACAAACTGCTGTCTTTTGAAAATATCTTGCCACGTGTCCCAATTGCTGCCTTATGATTTAATTCTTGAGGCTTAAAAGCTAGTGGAGCATGTGAGTTGCTTATTTATAGTGCATGAGAGTTATAGAATTAATAGATGGAAACTCAGGCAAGATTATTTTTAAAATTGGTGCAGTTGTGTGTTTTTTGTTTTTTTTTTTTTTCATTTAAACTTTAACTCTTGCTTTTGACAGCTTAGCTTGACAGTGTGCTTCCTGGTTATGATTTGAAGCTAATTACTTGGGACCTGATTCCTTACAAATGCTTGGCTTTGTCTGTTTGCCATGGCTATCTGAAGTAAAAACCTGTATATATTTGGCAAAATCACGTGAAAAGTTTCATGCAGGTAGAAAGGATCCGTTCATTGTGATAAATTAGAAAGTAGTTATGTATCTTGCTACATCTGTAAGAAGAAAACCCTAGAGGAAGGGGAGGAATGACTTCAGCTATCCTGGAAACTTGGAAGCCAAAAGGATATTTACTTGCCACGTAGGCTCAAACACTAATCAAACAGAGAAATGTGGCTTGTTTGCTTAAAGCCAAAGAAAAGATTAGGGCGTCAGGCTTAGTCCAACAGCAAGAAAATTAAGTGTTTTTTATGGTTGCTTTTGAAACAGACAGCTGATTTTCTGTTTCTATTAATACGTATTTTAGACACGAATAGCGAGAAGACTGAAAATTCATGTTTGCATGCAAGGGGGAAACTCCCTGGTCTTTTTTTCAGAACTTAACAGGAATTTTTAGCAAAAAGCTGCTTTCTTTCGTTGTTATTGTTCACCAACCTTTCTGATAAAGAAGAGGGCTTTTTCTTCACTGTCAGAAAGAATATTTCAAAATGTCTTTCACCTTAGGCTAGTAAGTATTTCTTGGTGTACGGCGCTAATAGCAATGCATCCTTTCTCTTTTTTTCGAATACAGTGCTACTATGAATTTACGTTCCTGACCTTGAGGAATATGATGATCCCTTCTGTCAGAACGTGTAGAAACTCCAGAGCATCTATCGAGCTGTGTAGTGTAGCGCTTTCCAGAAGTGTGCCGATTGTAACGTTTGTGCCGGATTTTGTATTTAATATCTTTGTATTCCCTTTGAGGTTACTTGAACTGGAAAAGTTACAAGTTCAGGACATCGCTTGACCCAGTAACCTTCAATGCTCTAGATAGAGACTAAGTGAACTTCTATTTTTCAAAGTGTTTCTGGTTCCTTTATGGTTTTTTTTTAAGAGTAAAAAAGTTAGAGTAAAAAATTAGAAGAAGGAAAGAAGACTAAAAAATTGGACTTATCTTCTCCAGAGTTTTTAATGACCTTTTCTCTCCGTAATTTAAGCCGAGGATCTTAGTTTTGATGTTCCTTTTGCCTTGTAGTTCTCTCATGTGTTTTTTCTGACTACTTCTCATAGATATTCAGAAATATCCAAACTGTGTTAAAATGGTCTAGATTCTAGCTTTTATAGTTGAACTCGATGAGAGCAGAGTTGTGCAAAGGCCCTAAAACTTGATGGCAGGAGTGACAGGGAAAGAAACCATCCTTTTCAAAAAGAAATGGCTGTAAGAGGCGTTTATTTATAGGTGAGCGTTCCTTCTTTTCCGCTCTAGTCCATGTTTGAATATAGAACTTTTTTGTACTGTGTATTTGGAAGGACTTTGAATGTGCTTTTTTGTAGATTCGGTTTCTGTAACTGAACTTTTTAATTATGTAGCATGCTAGCTACCATGCTACAAGTAAAACTAGATAGCACCAGTTTCCTGAGGGAACCGGGAGAGAGAGGCTCCATCCCAAGTCTCTCACCTTGGCCTTCTAACAGAGGCACTTTCTTGCGTGACTGTTGAAGTTGGGTATATTTAAGATTAATCTTTCTTAATGTCACTGGTGACTCTTACAATAAGGATGAAATATAACAATATATTTGTATGTGTTTCCTTTGATATCCCATTTTGGTGGTAGTTTAAAACTGCAAAACTTGCACTGGCTCAATTGGCGGTCGGAAGAGGCATCTTATTCAGTATGCTGGACTTGGGCAAGGGTGACGTTTTTATTATTTCTGCCTGAGTGAAGAGAAATAAATAAGGTTACTATGCAACTTGCTTTGCAGATGGCTTTTCTATAACTGTGGAAAAGTCACTAGAGCTCTTGCTAAAAAAGCAGCAGCGTCACTCTCCTGAAAACTTTGCTTGTCCAAGGCTCAGTCTTCAGGCTTTTTATGGTGCGTTTGTGTGACTGTGGTCCTTTCCTACACATGGCATAGTGATTTACCAGTGTCTCGTTATTTTACCTTCTAAGTGAGTTCTCTTATCTGTCACCAACTGTGACTCTGCGTTACTTAATTCCTTTCGGAAATGTTTCCGAAGAGACTTTAAAGTCCAATAACCACTCGTTTTCTGTGAAGTATCAGCCACTTGATAATGCCTGTGTTAATTATAGGCCTTAAGCTCATCTTTGAGATAATCTCTGCGTAAGAAATGTTGTGGGAAACGTTGTACATGCCTTGTTGCAGGGAACACACATGATAATTGAATTAATTAGTGATTTTTGCGGGGGGGAGGAAGAGGGGGATGGATGTGCCGTTAGTTGGTCCAGACTTCTTTGAGAGATTGGCGAGAGAGAGAGGAGAAAAAGGTCCCAATGCTCTGTTTACAGTTCAGTCACTGTCAGCTAGTCATGCTGCTTTTTTTTTTTTCCCTGAAGTATAGGCTTCCTTTTAATGAACTATGAAGATTTAATGAAATGGCTATAATAATTATAACTTTTTTCAGCTGCTTGTTTACTTGTTTCCCTACAGGAACACGCGTATCCAGCTGATGAACTCATGCCTTTAACTTGTCGTGGACGAGTACGGGGTCAGGAACCGAGTCGAGGGGATGTAGATGACGCCTTGGGAAAGTTAGTGCTTGCAACATTTACTGTCTCGTATAAATGTCTAGGAATCTTGGTACAACTTGCAGCCCACAGAACTTTTTTTTACTTGATATGTCCACAAACTTATGTTTATTGAAAAAGATACTATGAACGCATACAGAAGTTAGCTTAGTTTGTGTGTCATAAATTTTGTTCCAGGGAAAAGAAAAAGCTGTTGAGAAGAAAACTGTAATTGCAAACTTCTTTGAAGCTAGGCAGAAATTTTTTATTTCCTCCCATGATGTTAACTGATTTGAAATTGTACCTTAATCAGAAAAAGAGAATTGACCAGTGATCAGTGAATGAGATCCAAAGGTAGATTTAACTGCCATTCTGCAAGTTTATACCTTAGCAAAGCTTTTCTAGCGTGAGCTCACGTTATGGCATTAGTACGTTTGGTTGCTAAATAGGAGTTGTGAGCGTTAATTTTAGCTGCACAGAGCAGTGAGCTGTTAGCAAATGATTATCACACACATGGTAGCCTGAGCCGTTGTCCCAGTAGAAACCATTATTTCAGACCTGGAAATTCTTGATAAATTTTCTCTAGAGATGGCTCATAATGCAAAGTAATGTAATATTTCTGATCCTTTGTTGCGGGGGTGAAGTGTGGATTTAAGGTCCTTTTTTTCTCCGTGGTAAACTGAATGATCAAAGATAAAAGTTGAATTCCTATAAACGTGTTGATTTTTTTGTAAGAAATGATGTCCGTATGTGCGCAGTTTGTTTACAGAGCAAATACAAAGAGCTGTTGCTTTTTTTGTAGTGGTATCACTGTTTAGTGTCCTTGAGCAGAACAGTGGTAATCAAAACCTAAGTTCTTATCTTAAACTCTATTTCTAATTCACTGTGTGATATTGAGCATGTCATTTTGGTTATTTTTCTTATATAGAAAAGTTCCTTAGTCTGGAGAGTCCTATATAATCCTGTCGTCTACTTAAAATTGCATGGATTGACCTTGGAGGTAGTGGCTTGCTACTGGGAGATGTGACTGATGAGAAAGAAATGTCAAGAAATCTCTCTCATATAATGACACAGAATGTCATTATATCTTAGAATTCAAGATGAAGGTGATCGTGCATGACCCCTTCAGTAGAATTCTAACTGCGCTCATGCGCAGGCAGGTGTTGTCTACAGTGTCTCAAATATTGAGCACTTTTAAAAATTCTTGACGTTCGCTCTTCAGCGGTAACCCTGAGTGGTAACCCTTCAAGGGTTACGGTGGTAACTGTTCCCAAAATTCTGTAAATTCTACTCTTATGCCCGCTGTGGTTTTCTTAACATGAGAGCAGTCATATCAGGTTAGGCCAGAGGTCCGCTCGGCTTGGTATACTCTCTGTGACAACCCTAGAGAAGAATAAATGAACAGGACAAGCCTTACTGTGATTCTCCTGTGGCAAACCACATGGATCCGACTGCAGCTGGGCGCAGGGTGGTATCTCTTTAAAAGCCATTTGTGGGTTTTTATTCCACGGATTTTTGCCTAATCACTTTTCAAATGCAGGTAAGCGTTTGGCTTTTCTAAAGCCAGAACTGCCTGTGGCGGCAAGTTCCCTGATCTGACCTTCTCTTTTATGGAATAAATAGTTCTTTATTTTAAGGCTGCCACTTGCTAGTGCTGGGTGGCGCTGGGTGAAATTTGCTGTGAGAAATGGTGAATAGCAGTTTCTCATCCTCTTTCTTCATGCCATGTGCAATTTTAAAATCATCTAATGACACTTCAGCTGTCACTTTGTAGGCTGGAGTGCAAGCATGTTTGCTTTTTCCTAGTACGGAAGCCACTCCATACTGTCAACCATCCGTATTGCTCATTTTTGTACCTTTTCCTGTTCCATTATACCCCACACAAGTTTTATAACAAAATAACAGCATTTTCTTTATCCTTTCACCAATGATTCCGACACTGAGTTTGCTTTTCCTTTCTTTTTGCTTGTAATGAATGCTGAGCAGACGTTTTTCTTAACTGTCTTGTAGCTGTTGACGAGCTTTCACCTTAGCAAGGAATCATCACTGAGTGTGTGCTAGAGTATTTCTCCATTGAGTGCAACAAATCGCTGCTTTTTTTAAAGTGGATAATTGGAGTTTCTGATAGTGATTCTTTGATCTTCCTAAATAAATCTTGTCATTATTACATTTAGTAAGTCAACATTTCTCATTAGGAAAGAAAAGGAGTTGAAAGAGAGACTTTGGATCATTCTGTTGGGTCTCTTTTCAGTAGAATTGCATTTAGTTGGAGACAATTAAAAACTTTATTTGCTTACAAGAACTTTGAAAGCTGTGCGGTAAACTTTTTTTTTTTTTAAATCATAGCTCATTCTAGTCAACTTCTATTCTGGTCCCTAGCAAAGGGAAGAGGCTTAGTGTAAGCAGAGTGTTAATTCTGGTATGAAACAGGTACTGTATAAAACTGATTTTCTAGTAGCTGATGACCTGTGAAGAATTAATTTCATTTCTTCCATGGTATTGCTTACTCTTAAAAAATAATTTAATTTCTAAACATACAGGCTTATAATCTATTTTAATTTTTATTTTATAGGTTTTCACTGACCTTGATTGATACCTTGGACACTCTTGTGGTAGGTTTAATTTATTGATAAACTTCACTAAAACAAAAACTTGTTTTCTTCTGTTCCAACTTCTTTTTTAGATTTCTATTTTGTTAAGCACTCTATTTTATATAAGACAATGTAATCTTACTTCACCTCTGATTTCTAGCCATCTGTTAAAAGTGGCTATTGCTTGTAAGAGCTTCCAAGTGCTGTGATAGTGGTGTTTGGAATTCATTGCAAAGTGAATAGCAGAACAGCTCCTTGGTAGTTCATTGACATTTTCTTCTCTTGTTTTGCTTGGGCTCTACAACAACAACAAAAAAAGGTATGTAAGTCTGCCTCCCGTTATGGTTTAAAGCAGCACGCTGACCATGCATTTTATAAGACAGTGTTGTCTTTATGTAGTTCCTTCCTGAAAGAAGAAGATCGTAAGACTTGCAGACAAACACCTCTTAATGTCTACAGAATTATTTATGTTTTTAAAGTGTGCTTATAAATGTTTCATGGATGAATTTGTATGCGCTTAAATATATGTTATTAAAAAATGTAATCCTCGAAGTGTTTGCCAGGAAATGTTGCCAAGCTTCTTGCGTTCTGTCTCCTATGCTTAATGAGCTGGTTTTTGTTAGATTTTTAGTCCCGTTGACTTATTTTGCCGTTATAAAATAAAATTATGAAACTAGGAATGATTTTTGGCCATTCATCACTCCGAGGAAACAAATCTAAAAAGTTTTGAAAATCCTAACTGTGCTGGTTTGGGGCGTAAATCATACGATGCTCTTCCTCTGATGACTGTTCTCTTTTTATAATGTTGCCATGAGATGACCCTTGACTCATTTGAATCAGGCCCGCAGGCGTTGAAGACTTGGAGCCTGGAACTCCTCCCAAGTCTTTACCACATGCTCTAATGGTTTACTGTAACTTATTTTTTCTTGTTTTAGAGCAGGATTAACGTTCGTGGAATTTAAGTACTTGCAATAATGAATCAAATAAGTCACAAAGATTCTTAACTTAAAAGTTCTGTAACTAAAAGAATGTCAACGAGAAAGCAAATGTGAAGGAAATGACCAAGCTGTCCTTCAGGCAATGGGAGGAAACTGGTGGGAGGAGGAAGACTGCTTGGACAATTTACCCAACTTAGGATGGGGCCCTTTCGTCTGTGGGTAGGAGGCTTTTGTGAGATCAGAGCGGCACTGGAGCAGACCGGTCTTTGGCCACTCTGCTGGTGCAGGTGCAGCCTGCAGCCCGCTGAGTCCCCTTGCGCTACAGTCATGGGCTGGGAGTAAGGGCAGGGACAAAAAAATCCCTGAGCCACTGTCAGGGTGCGTTCCCAGTCACATTGCTCTTTGTTTACAGCGCTTATTCTCTCATGTCTATCTCACAAGAAAAATGGCAATACTAATGTCTGTTCACACTGTGTCAGGGTATGCCCCTGCAGGGTTAAAATATCAGTCTGAGACATCTTGAATGCTTTCCTCTTTAATCCATTGCACTTACTCTGTGATACTTGAGGTTGACTGTTCTAGCTGTGCTGGAACCTGAACATCTGCTTGCGTTTGTTTTCCAGGTGTTAAATAAAACCAAAGAGTTTGAAGAGGCTGTAAAAAAAGTGATAAAAGATGTTAACTTAGATAATGACATAGTTGTGTCAGTCTTTGAAACCAACATAAGAGTCCTTGGGTGAGTAATTTTTATGATTTCAGAACTCTTAAAGATGTGCTTTCTAGCGAATGTCCTTAAGGCGTACCTTTCTGGACTGTTTCACCTCCTTTAAAACAGTTGTTCCTTTGACAGTTAGCATAATTCAACAGCTGCTATAAGGAAGGCTTTAAAATGCTGGGTGGGAACGAATCACGCTAGCCCCCATCCACCCCTGCAGGTATTTCAAAAAAAAGAGTGTGCCAAGGTAGTGGTGGTTTAGGTGGTGGTTTATTTTCATAATCAAAACAGTCTCAGTTACTCTGTTTAATACTGGATTTAATAGATGCAACATTTCACTTAGGATCATGGATTATTTCAGGCTGGAAGGGATCTCTGGGGGTCTGTAGTCCAACTCCCTGCTCAAAGCAGGATCAGACCAGGATAATTTTAAGCTATTATATGCACAGTTTTAGAAGTGTTAGTTATTCTTGACTAACTATATAGAAGAATCAGTGATTCCTCTATAGTTTGGGGCTGAGTCCTAAACAAGAAAAATTGCTTCCGAAATACTGACAGTTCACTGTGGTGACTGGAGGCGGGTCTGCTCAGCATTTCTGAAAATTAGGCCTATGTGAACATAGCACAGTTATTTGTACAGTAGTCTGAGTTACAGAAATTGCTGCACTGCTGTTGAGATGACTATACCCATTGAGATGTGGATAACTTTTTCTTGTGTTTAGAGGTCTCCTAGGTGGGCATTCAGTGGCAATTATGCTGAAAGAAAAAGGTGAATATATGCAGTGGTACGGTGGTGAACTTCTGCACATGGCAAAGGAGCTAGGCTACAAGCTTTTACCTGCTTTTAACACCACTAGTGGTCTCCCTTATCCAAGAGTAAGTTCCGTGGTTTCTGCAATTCAAAAATGCTTCTATAAGCAAAACTTCTGTTACTTTGTTTTAATCTTGGTTTGTCCAATCACTTGTATATATTTCTTAAGCATTCAGAAAATAATTTTGTAACACATGCTACCTAGGATTTTGAAGTACAATTTTAGGCTCTCTGAATCTGCAGCTTTTCCAGCTCAGATCATTCTAACATGCCTTGCTTTGGGTAAGTAAAAATAGCAAGTATCTTATCTAGTCACTCTCTACTGATACTTTGCTCCTCACTGCTCTGGGTACCACCAAGTAGCTGAGAAGAGTAGCTTCTGTTATGGTACGTATCTCTAAGTCAATGAAAGGTCAACTCACAAGCATGTACTTGTTAATTTAACACAAAATAGATTAATCTTCATTGCCTGTTTAAAAGTTTGGATGCAGACCAAGGTAACTGCATAACTGCAGTATAAAATATTCACTTAATGTAAAATGGTTTGTCATAGTTGAACAACGCGTGGGAACAAACCTCTTGGAGTAATGGAAAAATATTGCCTGTGTATATGGTCCACTGACTCTCTGCAAGATTTAGCATTTTTTGGAAACTTCCCACAAATTAAATTTAGGCTCAGTAAAATCAGCATTTTTCTAGTGAAAATATTTAATTCAAAATGTTCTAAGTTTGACCATCTTTTGCTGAGACAGCTTTCCGTGGATTACAGAAAGTCATATGTTGTGCCTGGTCCAAAAGCAGGTCCATCTAGCAGGTACCCTCTGGAGCCAGGAATACGGAGATGCTTATAAAGCTTAATTTCAATGAGTACTTGTCAGGTTCTGAGACGTTCTGGTTTGCTGGTAAATAAATTGCTAAACTTGATTATCAGGGCAATGTTCGCTTATTTAAAGGTCTAGTGAACCAGGCAACTGGCTTTGGGGCCAGTCTTGCTTTTGGGAGATTGAGTTTCTTCTGGATAATTATATAGGCATGTTTGGGTTGACAGCATGGTAGTAAAGTAAAGCAAAATTGATTGGGGGGAGGAATAGTCCTTTTTCTTGCTTTTAGGAAGTGTGTGAACGATCTAGTTGATGTATAGATCTGTCATGGGAATGTGACTTGCAGCTAGTGAAAGTAACGATGATCTCTACTCTTCTCTAGGTAAACTTGAAATTTGGTGTAAGACATCCAGAAGCACGAACAGGAACAGAAACTGATACCTGTACAGCTTGTGCAGGTACCTTGATCCTTGAGTTTGCAGCTTTAAGCCGATTCACAGGAACATCTATATTTGAGGTTTGCTTTCCATGATCTCTTATTTGTTGGAATTAGGTATTCATTAGCTTCCTGTTACAGTTCTGTAACTTTGGAAAAACAATTTTGGGTTCATCAAATGGGTGCATGTCTTAGCTGTTCTGCACAAAAAGTTTGTGTGTTCAGCTGTGTTGTGACTATGGGTTTTTTTTTTCCCCTAAAAGTGCTGCTTAACCTTTATTTTAAAACCTCCAGGAAGTAATTTTAAGAAAAATTACTTCCTGGTAATACAGAAGTAAACAAGGCTTATGTTCTGAAGACTCCAGGTAAAGTATTTGGGTGGAGAGGAGCCACTGATTTGTTGGACTAGCAAGAAGAAAAGTGCGATGCTTTGTTTTATAAAATGCAGTTTAAAAAGGAAAACAATCACTATTGTAAGCTTTCAGTTTTGTTGCTCAGTCTGAAGTTTCCTTTATAGGTTTTCTTTGCCAGGTTTTACCTACAAAGCTGGAGTCTTGATCACAAGCTGACTTTTTTTGCCATGCATCACTGCTAGTAGTAAACATTATGCTGGCCTGCCTGGGCTGTTTGTGACGTTTGTGCACTTACACCCTCCAAATTGTGTCCTAGTACTGCCTGCAGAGATTAATGTGTTCCCTGGACTTGTACAGCTTTACTGTTTGCTAGTTGGTAAGCATCTCTGTTCAGATTAGATTATCGTCTGTTTAGACTTTCACTGAGACTTTCACTTGGACTGCCGAGAACACTAAGCAGTGAAAATATATAGTAGTCGCTAGAGGCAATAGGTAAATTTTGAATACTGCATGAAAATTCTGCTCTGAAACTTCAGAGTAAGACTGTTCTTAACCACGTTCTTCTGCTTTCTTTGTCATAAATCCGGAAAGATTAAAATAGTAAAACAATTATAACAACTTTCTTTTTGTAATGAAAGAAAATCATAAAGCTATCAGTGTCGTGGCTTTGGGCTGCTCATTAAAGAGGGGATTTTCAGAAGTGTCTCAATTCGTAGTCCTATTGAATTTGTGCAGTACCTACCCAAGGGTCTGTTGTCACCAGAAAGCTAAATGAAAATGTTTGCAGATGGTTTCTTTGGTGAATGATACCAAAAAAAAAAAGCTCTCTTTCAGATTAGAATTTTTTTGCAAGCAATCGATATTGGCCCAGTATTTCATCTCATTCCACGCAACCCAGTGGAAGCACAACTAGGCCAGGGTTAAGAACTGGCAGAACTCAGCCCCTACAGTCCAGTGCATGTGGTTGGCGATCTAGAGCAATTTTGTTGGCTGTTACACAGAAAGGGAAGAGTAAATTGAGGGTATAGAAAGAACGTACATGATTTACGTGCTGACGTCAGGGATTGCTGCTCCACCTTGAAATGTCTGAAAAGACGTAGTGACTTTGATTCTGAAGCTGTTGTGTTTCTCAAAATATTTTTATTTTTGAATTGCTTTTTAATTAGGTTGAATATCCTTTCTGTATACACAACTTTAGGAAACCTGGGCAGAGGGACTTGAGTGACTTGCCTAAGATCAAACAGTGGTGTAAAAGAGCACCGTTCCTTCTAATTAGCAACAGAACGACTAAGTGAAGTGTGGACTGAAAGTGCTACTGTTCGAGCATCTGTAACATAATACTAAGATTTATAATTCTTTCTCAGATATGAAACATCCTACTTCATAGCATCTTAACACACAAAAGAATAAAAATTCTTTTCTATCAGTCCTTTTTTTAATTCCTTTGTTTCTGTGTAGTTTCATTTACAGGAGTTTGTGTCTGTCTTGTCTGTTGCAGGAATACGCACGGAAAGCACTTGATTTTATTTGGGAAAAGAGACAACGCAGTAGCAATTTAGTGGGTGTCACTATTAATATTCACACCGGAGACTGGGTCCGCAAAGGTGTGTGGTGTTCTGACTCCAGGAGGATTTGTGACCAGAGGCGGTTTTGGGGAAGAAGTTCTCGAGGGTTTTTTCTTTCTTCCCCTTCCACATTTATCTAGACCATTTAAAAACGTTAATGGGACAGGCAAGTGGACTTGCATACTTGAGATGTGAAGAAACCTGCCGCAAAAAGGCCTGGCCTTCCTCTGAAAGAGTTCCTCATCGAGGAAAAGCATTCTCTGAAGCATTCTCTGAAGCATCGAGGAAAAGCATTCTCTGATAAACTTTTTGCTGAGAGGAATGCCTTGGGATAAATTTTCAGAGACTCTTCTCTAAATACTCAGTAAAAATATATATGATATAAATAAGACTTTGGTTGTATATGCCAGCTAGTAGAAACACTGTGTCATATCAGAAAAGTGAAACAACTGGCTTAAATGCATGTCTGTTCATATTATTATGTGCATTAATATTGCACAGCCTTTAGTGTAGACACTCAGCATTATGTGTCCCTATCCATCTGTGCCGTAATTCTCGTGACAGGAGGCTTTTCCTTTCATTTTAAAATCAAAATGAAACCATGTGAAAATAACTATATAGCTACTTAAAGTAAAACCACCTTTTCATCTTCTGCTATTTCTAGATAGTGGTGTTGGAGCAGGAATAGATTCATATTATGAATATTTATTGAAAGCCTATGTCTTGCTGGGAGATGACAGTTTCCTGGAAAGATTTAACACGGTAAGTTAATTCCTTGCTCGGATTTGTTCCTCGTTTAAGACTAATTAAAGACTAATTGTGTTGTCAGTCAGCTGTGATGCCTCTGAAGAACCATTTAGCAGAATTTCTGTGACTTCCGATGTGTGTAGTGCTGGCTCTTTTTAATACAGACTTTTTGCTGATCTTGAGTGAACTGTCACCTGATCAAGTATTTTAACCCCATCCTACAAAGACTGGAATCTTCTTGTGGGCATTTCTCCACGTTTCCAGTACAGGAGAAGCTGTATTTGAAGATGGCTTTGGAGAGTGTAAAACAACATAAGGTCGTCTTGTTACAAACTGTGGTATAACTTCTCACTGTCCTGGAGCAGAGGAGAAAATCTGAAAGTCAAAACCAGGATCTTGCATTGCACTGCAGATCCATAATTTTAGGACCGTTAAGGCCCGTATATATTTGAGTTAAGTAGATTTTCAAATTGAAAAACGCATGTAGTAGGTTACTAAATTTATTAGATTACTAAGTAACTTTCAGCGTCTTTATTCTTTCATAAAATATTACAAAATGGCAATATCCAATATAAACATTTTATTTTATAGCATAAGCAGTATTAAAATTGAAAATAATTTAAACTTTTCTTTGAAACATATTGATAACATAAGCACATGTTTTTTTCGGATGTTTGTCAGCACTATGATGCCATAATGAGATACATTAGCCAGCCACCTCTTCTCCTTGATGTTCATATTCATAAACCTATGCTAAACGCTCGGACCTGGATGGATTCTTTGCTAGCTTTCTTCCCAGGGTTGCAGGTGAGTCTTAAAACCCATGTGCAGATGAAATTTAATGACAAATAAAAAAAAACAAAAAAAAAACCCTGTCGTTATATAACAACTGACAAGTCAAGCTTAATAATTTGACTTTCAAAAATGCTGAGCAAGGGACTATGCACTCGATCCTTCTGTCACTTCTATGCTATGTGATGTGCTTCTGACTGTGTTACGTATCGAGAAAGGTACTTCCTTATGGTTTTGCTGCCTTCGCTCCTAGTCGTGAAAACGCTCGAATCAAGCCCCCTTTTCAGTAGTTTAATGACGGTGTTTTCTAGTTTGTGTGTGTCAGTAACGTCTTTCAGACAAACTAAATTGCATCCCCTTCCCGCCACCAGTTCTCTGTAGATGATGGAGATCCTTTATTCCACTTGAGCTGTGGCTTTAAGGAGCTCACTAATTTTGTTTAAAAAGCTCCAAGGCGTATCTACGGCTTACCTGGAAAGGGAAGGGTAACATTTACGTTGTGTATCCGCTGGAAATGCGGAAATTGGTGTGTGACTTTATGTGAACGCAGTAAGTGTGCCTGACTTTGCATGTTGTCCCTATGGGTGGTGGACTTGTGTTAATTTTATTCTTGTGTTTTAGGTGTTGAAGGGTGATATTAGACCTGCTATAGAAACTCATGAGATGCTCTATCAGGTTATAAAAAAGCATAACTTTCTTCCTGAGGTACGTTAGTCTCTTTTGTCATTAAAAGCAAAGGTTAACTTCCATGGTATTCTTCAGCAGTTTACAGTTCTGCACGTATGACAACCATGCTTTGGATCTGAAATATTTTTCCTTCAGTTATGCTGTAATTAGCATGCTAGTGGGAGCTGTTGCTATAATAGTTGCTTAGACTTTTACATTTCAGCCTTTCAAAACTGACCTTGAATCATTTCACTGTGCGAGTGCATATAAGCACTCTTACCTGCAGTCGTAGCTGCTTAGTAACATAATACAATTAATGCTACCAAACCTGTTATCTTTATTAACCCAAGAAATACAAGGAAGGAAACTAAACGCTGAATTTATCTGGGAGAATGTTCTGAGATTTTGCACAGTGTCCTTGAGAGTAGGTCCGAGGAGTGATCTGTAGCTACTGCAAGTGCAGGCTTTGTTTGAGCAAGTTCATTGCGCGCACAAAAGCCTCCCGAAGTGTGTCTTTATCCTGCGATAATCCCGAATAAATGAGAGAGCTTCTGATTCCAGTCGTTAACTTTGGCTTTCCTCTCATTTAAGCTAATATCTTCCAGAGGATGTTTTAATTAACATCACGTTCACTTAATGTAGAAATTGAGAAATGATCTCTAGTCACTGAAATGATTTTTTTTGAGTACTCTTAAAATGATATGATTTGGCTCCTTGGTTCTTGGTTGTTTTCTCAGTGCTTTGTACTTTCAAAGTAGAATTTGAAAGATCGTTTCGTTATATCTAAGCCAACGTGTAGTCTCCTTTACTAAAGACTTGGTTTAAACTCTAACGTGAACTAGTAGTGAGTGAAAGCTATCACAGAAATTGGCTTTTGCCAGTGCGTTTTTATGGGAGCCAAGTATCGAGAGTCAACATAGAGTCTAGGAAGTCTTTAAATAACTGACTTCTGGTCTCTGGTGTTTCATATGGTAGAAAGAGCTGATGTAAACCGTCACTTCAGACGGACAGATCGTGGGCATTTTAAGTGTCAGATGGTAGGTATGTTTGCAGAAGTGGTGTTTGTCACAGCTCTGATCAGTCTCTGCGTAGCGGACCTTCACCAAGCTGCTTGATGGGCTGCAGCACCAGGCGTGTGCTTGTGCCGACGGCAGCGAGCAGCGCTCCCTCCCGGCCCTGGGGGCGCAAATTCTCATCTGGCACCCCCCAAAGCCCTGCCGAGCTCCGCTTGCTGAACGCTCATCCAGAGGTTGTCGGTGCAGGAGTTCAGGCATCCTCACAGCTTAAATTTCCCTTGTACTAAATGGGCTGGGGCACCGTTTTAGGTCAAACGTATTGACTAGGCATAGGTTCTCTGTTTCTGCAGCCTCTTGAGATCAGTGTCGAGTCCTCGGTCCTCCACTGGAACGCCCAACATCAGCTGTGGAGCGCTTCAGCTGTTGTAAAACAGTTCATTTGAGGTTCAAAATCAACCTGTGTGGGTTTTATTTTGGCATTTATTTTTGTCTCTCCTTTTTCTCCCCCTTCAGGCTTTCACGACAGATTTTAGAGTTCACTGGGCTCAGCATCCTTTAAGGCCTGAATTTGCAGAAAGCACTTACTTCTTGTATAAAGTAAGATCACTTCCTTATCTCTCTGGCTTTTGGTCATCTTGTTTAGTATCAAGAATTTTATTGGTATTGTATTTCAAAATGGAATGAGTAGCATATCTGAGTTTATTTTATCTACTGGAGCCGCTTCTGTATAAAATAAGATCAAAGTATCAAAACTTGTTCTGGGAACGTTGTTTTGTTTGTCTAGAGTTAAAAAAGAAAAACGTTAGGTAGCAAAGGCCTGAATGTTTAAAGGTGTTACTGCTCTTGCTTTCAGGAGAGACAAGAGCCAAAGCTACTTGTACCTTGTGGAGTAGAGCATAGTAGTGCCTAAATGTCCTAGGCTTCTTTTTAGTATTTCCACGCCTTTATCTGCATATCTGTAAAAGGATAATACGATTGTATCTCAGAGGTCTCTGTTGTGTCTGTTCACAGTATTGATAAACTAGATCCTGCTGGTGGCTGAGAAGGCAGGAAACCAGAGTATATAAAATTAGGTGGAAAAAATAGAATCTGATAGTTTTGCAGTAAATCTGAGTTCACCTATGTGGGTTTTTCGTGTGCATGTGGGGATTTGTTTTGTGTTCTTTTTTTAACAGGCTACTGGAGATCCTTACTATCTAGAGGTAGGGAAAACGCTCATTGAAAACTTAAACAAGTATGCAAGGGTACCCTGTGGGTTTGCTGCGATGAAGGATGTTCGTACAGGAAGTCACGAAGACAGGTAAAAGTTTTTGAAGTGACTTTTGTTAACAGATTATAGAAAAGAATCTCACCCTGTTTGTTTGCATAATTGAATTGTTTGACTTCTGAGCAGCTTTCTGTCTTCAGTTTGATACCCAGCTCTGAAATTATCCATGTTTGTTTGTCATAGTCTGTAAAGTATTGAAATGGTCTCATAAATTCTATTACACACAAACATTTTCAGTGTTTGATAGCCTCTCATTTGAAGCCCCCTTTCATTAGTCTCAGAGCACTAGATGAATTACTTTCAAACAAAATAAACTTGAAATGTAGAAGTCTGTAAAGAGGTTTGTAAGAGTTGCTATAATCCCATTTTGAACTGATCTTGAATCCTTTCCCTTCCTCCTTCCATTTGGAAGAAACACCAGTGGAATTATGTGCAACAATAATATAATGGACATTTCAGAGCAATACGCATATTTATTTTACTGATGTTTTGGAAAATAGGGATATCTCTTTAAAGGGTGTTTGTTGTGGTGTTTTTTTTTCCCCTCTCTCTCCATAGAATGGATTCTTTCTTTCTGGCTGAGATGTTTAAGTATCTTTACCTGCTCTTTGCTGATAAGGAAGACATGATTTTTGACATAGAAGATTATATCTTCACTACAGAAGCGCATCTTTTGCCACTTTGGCTTTCCACTACAAACCAAACCATCTCTAGAAAAAATACAGTAAGTAACAGCTCAAAACTTAAATCAATTTTTAATGCTGCTTTAAAGCAGCTTCCTTTTTATTACAGGAAATGGAAAAAAAATCAGGGAAAATGGTGGTTTGAAGTATATCAGTTTTGACATTTTATTTAATATGAACTATTTTAGCATAGTAACAGTTGCAGTCACATGAATATGAATAATATTTCCATGACGGAATTCTGCACTGCTGAATCTTGTGAAAAATGCTGTGGAGTCAGTAGTATTTAAAAAGGAACTCTCACTCCCTGTCTCTGTTCATATAAAACTGAAAATAACACAGTGCAGTTTTTTATCTTCATATTTATTTTCTCTTAATTTGTTTCTCAAACATATAAAATGACATGGCAACGTTGTTGTTTATTGTACTACACCGAGCCTCTGCAAATTTGCAACAGTATTTTGAGGCTATCAGAAAGTTAATTTTGTAGATACTTGTCTGTTACAGCTTTGCAATATTTCATTGCTTCCGTCCTTTTAAAAAGCTTTTTATTTAAAAAAAAAAAGTGAAAACACTAATGGATTTACAAACGGGTTAACATTCTAAAATGTCCTATGGTACTACAAGTGTGTCATGAAATATTGTACACTCTCGTCTCCTTGGTTTAAGATGACATAGTTTGTCTTTCAAGAATCTAACTCTGCTGACAAGCAAGGTTAGTGAATGAGAAAGTGAATAGAGGGGTCTCCAGGGCCTCAGGGCTGTAAGTTCTTTATTTTGCCTTATTTTGACCCTTTACTACGTGTCCTCTCTGAAATAATTTCTGGATCAGAAGAAAATACTCCTGTTTGATATCAACCTATGCACATCTTGGAGAAATCTTAAAGCTGAGTAGAGAGCGCTCTGTTTTATGGAATCTAACATTAGAAAGCAAGAACTTCTTGAAATAACTTGCTCTTAGCATCTAACACTGGTAACAGATTTAACATGTTATAGAGTTGGGTTTTTTTTTTTTTTTTAGTGTTCCGAGGTGGTGCAGATCCTGCACACACTCTCTCCAAAATGTTCTTTCCTTGAACATTTTATTTATCACTTCTCCTTACGTTTTGAAACGGAGACTCTGAAGAAAAGGCAGAATGAGGGATTATGCTTTCAGTGAACGTGTTTTTTTTTTTTTTTGGTTCAGTTTTGTTTGGTGTGACCAGCATTTTCCAAGCTATGCAGGAAGTTCTCTCAGGGTCTAAAAGAGCAGCTCTCTGACTTTTACTGCCAACATGGGAATGCGATACCTATAGCTGAGAGGGACAGGAGCTGCTCAGTACTGGCAATGACATGCTGGCCTAACACACGTAGTTTGCTTGAGAACAGCAAGTGTTCGTAAAAGGTCTAAAAAGAGAACAGAGTAACTTAATGAATGCAGTTTTATTGAAGCTCTTTGTTAAGTCTAAGCTAGTAACGTGATTAACTCCAAAGTAAAAAAGATTGCATTTAAAGTGGTGTCAACAAAATGTGTGAAATAGCTAATCGTCTATTAAGATCAGTGCTTCATTTTTTTAAATGCAGAGTTTATCTACTGGAAGGGAATTGATAGGAAAAATGGGGTGTGTTGTGGGTGGTTAAACTATTTTTAATATAAACTCAGTACTAGTAATCTGAAGTACAGAAATAGTTGGTAGTAGCAACCCTATATCCTGTTTGCATTTATTCTCATAAACAGGAAAGGTCGTGTCTTACTGTGCTGAAGTTTGCAATATTGTAGACCTTCTTTCTCAAGTGATGAGACTACTGTTTGTCATGCTAAGAGCAGAGGTACTTAAAAGACTATTATTAGTTTGTTGGAATAAATACTTTTAAGTCTTGGGTTTCAGGGAGCCTTTAAATATTTGGTTTCAATTTATTAATACGTTGTAAGGAAGGTTTTTAGTCAGTAAGTAAATACTACCTTAATTTTTACAGGTGGGAAAACTAAATGGCCAGAGTTATCCAATAAGTCACTTACAGAACTAGGAACAGACTGGCTGCAAGTTTTTTGCATTGTGCACATATTTCACGTGATTTCACATGTTGCAAAACAGCGATTTGTGCAAATGTTAATTCCTAAGCTGTCATATTTTCTGAGAATAGATGTTGTTAGAATTATATGTTAGTCCAACATTGCAGTGCACAGATTTGCGAGACTGCAAGGCTCCTGAGAGGAGGCTCTCTTGTTCGTATGAAGAATTCATGTACAAGAATCTACTGTTTTTTCATCTGTAATTCTTTGTAAATACCTACTTATTTTTATGATGTGTGTGAGTGTTGGGTTATCTTACGAATAAAGTTGATCTCCTAGAATATTACTTAGAAAACGTTCTTGCTCAAGATGTGACGTTCTTAGCGATACGGAGGAAGAATGACTGAAGGCCTGGAGCTGGTTCAGTCAGCCTACCGGGAGGATCATCTGAAATCATAACTGCTTTATCTGGTTGTCTGGCACGTGAAAGGAGGGGGGTACTAGCTATTTGTTGGGAGTACACTGGTTACCGTTTAGCGTTGCAAGGTGAGGCATAAAGAAAATTACATGCTCTTCCTGCTTGAGAACTGTGTAGATGTAAATTTGTCTTCAGCTGTTGTACGTCCTGTGTACACCAATGACTTGAGGATACGTCTGTTTGATTTTATTACTGTAAAAACGTAACCTGTATTTTTGATAAGTGATGTCTATCTTTCGTTTTAGACCACAGAATACACAGAGCTGGATGATAGCAACTTCGACTGGACCTGTCCCAACACCCAGATTCTCTTCCCAAATGACCCTATGTTTGCTCAGAGTATTCGTGAACCTTTGAAAAACGTGGTGGACAAAAGCTGTCCTCGGGGTATTTCCAGAGCGTAAGATGAATCCTTGCTGTCTTTTGTTAGCATAGGAGTGACTGGAAGTGTCTGTTATCTCGGGGAAGAGAAACGCTTACATGTATTGGAGTCGTATAGGCTTGCTCTGTTTGAGTTTGTTTGGAACGGATAGCCTAACTATGGGAAAAACCAGTTATGTTCTGTCTGACATCATCAGCAAAACTCAGATAATTGCCAGCAGGAACTGGTGAATCTTTCAAAACAAAAGGATCTTAAGAGTCACGTACCCCAAGGGGAAGTTGTAGCCTAGGTATTGTGAGAATTTTCTTCTTGATTTGTAAACTTTAATTTCTGTTGTCTCTTGAACAGTTCTCCAACTCCTCCTTTTCTGTATTAAGTAAATAATGCCATAAATAATGTTACGTATTGTGAAGAGTTCAGGGTACTCTGTTAAAGTTGAGGAGGTTTATCCTTCTGACTGCCCCTCTGATATTTATACTTTCTGAGTAAAACTGAACAGCAGTTCTGTTAGGAAAATTGGATGTGATCAGTCTTACAATAATACAGACTATTTAGGAGTGAGAGAGAACTTTCATGGTAGTTTCGTTTTTAGCAACACTGCATGTGCGCTTTGGTACTACAAAATTATTGAGAATGCGGGGAATTTTTTCAAAAGATAGTTTGGCTGAGAAGTTGCATTTTACTGAAGTTTGTACTCAACTTTATTCCAAAGAATTCCCATCCTCTGATGAGAGGAATAATTTGTGAAAGTGTGTGAGAGTTATGTCTCAAGAATAATCTGTTCTACAGCTTTGATCTCTTATATCTTTTGGCAGAGAAGAGAGTTTGGGAAGTGGACCAAAACCACCGCTGAGAGCCCGAGATTTCATGGCCAGTAATCCTGAGCATTTGGAGATATTGAAGAAGATGGGAGTCAGTTTGATTCATCTCAAAGATGGAAGAGTGCAATTAGTGCAGCACGCTGTGCAAGTAAGACCCAACAGTAACTTTTTTGAAAGTTCTTAGTAAAATTCTACCAGTTATGATTTTTGACACTCTTAGAGGTTCAGAAGAGGCAGCCAGACTGTGGAAGGGGCATGTGAGCATAATGTGACTACATTTAATGGGTTGCTGCTTGTTAATTTTTTGTCTCAGCAGCACTTTTAATCAAACATCCATTAAATTAGGTGGAGGCTGTTGACCAGCTATAATTCTGGTTGTCTGCTGACTCCATTAGACATTGCTACATATGCATTTGCAGTTGATTCATATCTGGGAAGTTTTCTCTACTATTTCCTTTAGCCTTAAAAAAAAAAAAAAAAACACTCTTTAATGTTCAGGGGACATGTTTGAGTTGGAGTATTGTTTTCCATCGCACCCTAATGACAGTTTGGTCAATAAAAAAGAGCATCGTGGTAGCTGGATTTGTTCTAACTGATATTTGGCTACTGAATTAGGCTGTGGAGAGCTTACTTGTAGATAGAAAATAAATATTTAAAAGTTAGTTCACTTCTAAACGTGCCTTTAAAATTACAAAATACTAAATATTTCATAATGTTCTCTATATACAGAATTCTGTAAATCCATCCCATCAGCTTTTAAGGATTTAAAGTAGGTTAAATCAGTACTTTTTTTTTTTTTAGGTATAGGGGGATGGAAAGCAAAGGTTTACCTTACTGAAACCCCATTCCTTTCATAAAAGAATTTCAGAATAGTGTAATTAACAGTATTTTTCTGAAAATAATAGCTTTCAGTGTGAGATATTCCTACTTGTTTAGGAAATAGATTGATCTGTCTAGCTATGTTTAGCCCACTGTGTGGGGAAGATATTAAATGCTCCCTTTCAGCAGTGTTCTCTTATCTGACATGATGAATTAATGGCAGGGAGCCTCCACTCTGTATTTTAAAAACTTTGTAGCGTCAGATGTTTGCCAGCAGGTAGTGTTTTGTTAGAAAACTGATATAAAAATGGAGCGTTATCCTGAATCACTGAAGTACCAATGCATGCAGTGTAAACAGCAGTCACAACTTCAGACTGTTTGTTTGTTTTCTTTCAAGTTCATCAAACGCTTCTGAAGAAACTTTTTTTTTTCCCCCCCCCCCTCCTTAAAACTACTTAGGCAGCAAGTTCGCTTGATGCTGAAGATGGCTTACGGTTCATGCAGGAAATGATTGAACTATCCAGTCAGCAACAGAAAGAGCAACAGCTACCTCCTCGCGCTGTTCAAATCGTTTCCCATCCGTTCTTTGGCAGGGTGGTCTTGACTGCTGGACCAGCGCAATTTGGAATGGACTTGTCCAAACGCAAAGCCGGGGTATGTAAGATGTCTGCGTGACCTGTTCCAAGCTTTCTGTTGCTCTTTCTTTCATAAACCTAAATTTTGTAGTATCGATACTATTTCAGGGTGGTCAACCAGAGGTCAATTACAGTAGTTAAAATGCAGCAGTGATGGAAGATAGTGTTTTAGATGCGTGGCTTAGCAGTCTGTAACCTGTGCTCTGCTCCTCAGTTATCAGTCATGGTTTAAGATATAATATAGCATGACTATAGTACTGTGTATATAATACATAGTATGACTTTGAAACAAATTTATGTGATGTGCAGTACACATTTTAAGAGAAGTTCACTTAAGGGAAGGTTTTCCTACTACATCAGCCGTGAATTTGCAGAAGCCCTTTCAAAGTTAGGCTGTTCTTACCCACACTTTCATAAAGGGCTGTATCTAATTGGAAGAAGAAAATACCACACAGGCAACAGTTCCTATTGGAGACAGTAGGTATGGACAAAAATACAAGGGTGAAAGAATTAAGTTTTCACTTGGTCGTTCTTTGCTTTCATGGAACTTAAAGCTCAGACTCCAGGGTAGAGGCTCTCCAAAGTGACAGAAAACAGTAAATGCATTGGGTTAACTGAAGAAAGTAGAAGGCCTAGGAGGCTTTTGCAAGCTTGAGCTTAGTGTTTGAATTCAATTTTTTTTCCCTCAAACAGACAAGAGGATTTGTTGCAACCATTAAGCCATATAACGGATGCTCAGAGATCACTAATCCTGAGGCAGTCAAAGAGAAGATTGCTCTGATGCAAAGAGGCCAGTGTATGTTCGCTGAAAAGGCGCGAAACGTTCAAAAAGCTGGAGCAATAGGAGGCATTGTTATTGGTAAATAAAACTTCACTTCTTTATAAATGCAAACTGTATTTTCCAGTTTTGGAAAGGTGACAAAAAGCTATTATATCCTCTGAGGTGTCAGTACTCCAACGTAGCAATTGTGATCTCAGAAGATAAAGAAATACTTTCTTTATGTCCAGCGCTGTGCAAGAAACAGCCACAACAAATTGGGATGAGCGATTGTCACTGTTTTTGCAGATTAGAAGTTATCCTTCTAAGGATCACTGAGTGCTGATGAAACAGTGTTATATGCTAACTATTGAGGACGTCTTAATGTTTTTGATTTGCTTTGTATGTTAAAACAAGTACGCCTGCTGGGTCATGGAATGGTGGTGGTTGTTTTTTTTTTTTAACGACCAATTTACTGTTTGCTGCCTGGAATCCTTTTAACTGACTGGGCGATAGAAAGCTGCTCAAAGTCTGTCAGTTCAGAGTTGTGGTCTGTTTATCTAATAGAAGGGTTTTCTCGCTTTCTCTTTTACGTGTGTCTGGCTAGATGACAATGAGGGAAGCAGTAGTGACACTGCTCCTCTCTTCCAAATGGCCGGTGATGGAAAGAATACAGATGATATCACAATTCCCATGCTCTTCCTGTTCAACAAGGAAGGAAACATTATACTGGATGCAATCCGGGAATACGAGGCTGTAGAGGTGCTCCTTTCTGATAAAGCAAAAGATAGAGGTAAGAATAAGGTGTTGGGGATTTGTTGTTGTTGTTTCTTCTTTTACCACAAATTTGACTTTTATCTGTGCCAGCTGGCATAATATGAAATGTATAGTATTGATTTCTGTTGATACCTGAAGATATAAATGAGTTATTTGGTAAGTTTAGTTTTCTGTTTTGACGTTCATAATAGCTTTTCATATGAAAGCCATTATCTGAGAAGTCTGTGCCCTGCCACCCTCTTCCACATCCCTGCACCCCTCCCAGCCCCCCAGTTTTCCCACTAACATCCAGAAGTGCCGTTTGTAAATTAAATGTCAGTTTGTGTTTTTTTTTTTTAACGACCAATTTACTGTTTGCTGCCTGGAATCCTTTTAACTGACTGGGCGATAGAAAGCTGCTCAAAGTCTGTCAGTTCAGAGTTGTGGTCTGTTTATCTAATAGAAGGGTTTTCTCGCTTTCTCTTTTACGTGTGTCTGGCTAGATGACAATGAGGGAAGCAGTAGTGACACTGCTCCTCTCTTCCAAATGGCCGGTGATGGAAAGAATACAGATGATATCACAATTCCCATGCTCTTCCTGTTCAACAAGGAAGGAAACATTATACTGGATGCAATCCGGGAATACGAGGCTGTAGAGGTGCTCCTTTCTGATAAAGCAAAAGATAGAGGTAAGAATAAGGTGTTGGGGATTTGTTGTTGTTGTTTCTTCTTTTACCACAAATTTGACTTTTATCTGTGCCAGCTGGCATAATATGAAATGTATAGTATTGATTTCTGTTGATACCTGAAGATATAAATGAGTTATTTGGTAAGTTTAGTTTTCTGTTTTGACGTTCATAATAGCTTTTCATATGAAAGCCATTATCTGAGAAGTCTGTGCCCTGCCACCCTCTTCCACATCCCTGCACCCCTCCCAGCCCCCCAGTTTTCCCACTAACATCCAGAAGTGCCGTTTGTAAATTAAATGTCAGTTTGACTAACAAGACAGTACAGCCCTTTGGATTGCTTTTGAACCCTTTTTGTCATAATCTGCTTTGAAGTCGTGTCAGGAATAATTTAAGTGTTTTCAGTGCCCCCCGTTGCAAATGCCTCTCTCTTAATCAAGTTCCCAAGTGACATTCTCAGTACCCAAAAGGAAAGAGCTGAGTGTTTTGCCTAGGTAAGGGAAAGTGGTTATCACGAGAAATAAGGCTGGTGACCTCAGAAGTTTTGCAGTTTTTCTTATATAAGAAAATTGTATGACACGATTACAGTCTAATACATTTCAAATTAAAATGCCTAATACATTTCATATTAAAACCTAGATTTCTACGTTTTCCTTTTGTAAGCCCTCCTCTAGACAGAATTTAAATATTTGTAGCATGGCTTTACTGAAGCAGAGTATGGAAAGAACAAGCGTCTGTAGTGAACTGGGGACAATACACATTTGCAAAGGTGATGACCTGAAAGCTACAGTATTGTTTCGTCATAGCTGCTTATAATTTTTTTTCTCTCTATAACTATGGTTGAGCTGCTGCAATAAAATACTAAACACAGAGATGGTTCTGCATCTGAGAATTTGTAATGCGTATGTGCTTCTTTCCCAGCAACAATCTTTAAAGGTAAAATGATTCCAAACTACATTATTGATAGCAGTAAGTATCCTGTATTAAAAATGTTATATGAAGTTATCCTCCCTAGAGCTCTTGCCCTATATACTAGTTACAAACATTAACTTCTAAAGAAATCTGGCTAGTTAAATCGGAGAGCTCATGTAAAGTTAAAACCTAAATCCGTATTTGAGACATGAACGTTAGCCGCTTTGAATACGGGTGTGAGGCGGGAGGCACTTTGGCTTTGGCTCTCTCTCTGAATTCACAGTTCAGTAAATTAATGTAATTCTGTGCATCTTCCACTCGCTTAGATGTGGGATCCTAGTTGTGGATCTGGGAGTGCTTTAAAATCTAGTATTAAAATTCAGCACACACGTGGTGGACCTTACAGTACTTGCTTAAGGCTGAAGAGTGGCAACTAGTACTGGCCCAGAAATCACTAGTCAAGTTTGAAGACCAGAAACTAGTCTCGCTATATTGCTCGCCTTTTCTAGCGTTTAAATTTTTCCCCCTCAATAAAATCTATTCCTTAGTAACATTGAGTCTTCATATCAACAAAAATTCTGCACTTTAAAGGTAGTGATCTTGCATTTGAAATACATGAATGAAATACATGAAATGTATTGAATGAATGAGTACATGAAATGCTGGTTTTCTAACTTCTTTTCAAAATGCTTTTTTTTCCTTCCCCCTCTTAAAGACTTGGAAATGGACAATATGGACCAGAAATTGTCTGAAAACGATTCGCATAAGCAGAGCTCAGAAGAGACTACTTCAGCATCTCAGGACGTTGGCTTGGCCAGTGAGGAGCCTGAAGGAGGAGAAAACTCTGACGTTGCTCAGCCTGATTCTTTATCTCCTGCTCACGCAGACAGTGACAGTGTTTCCATTTCAAATCAGGATTCCTACGTCCCTGAAAATGAGGCTAGTACTCAAGAACCAGAATGCACGCAAGTGGATAACCAGCCTCAGGAGCGAAAGACTGAGACAGAGTCAGACTCCAAAGCTGACTGGGATAATAAAGTCCAGCCTATGGAATCCATATTAGCAGACTGGAATGAAGATATAGAAGCATTTGAAATGATGGAAAAGGATGAACTATGACTTGTAATAATAACTTATTTGTTAGTAAACAAATGGAGAACTGTTTGGGTAGAAGAGAGGCCCTGATATCAGAGAACTAGGAAACACATTCAGTATTGTGATGAGCAACCAGGTTTTCCCTGGGAAATACCATAGAAATCCAGCACATGCTGTTTGTATTGTTTTAATTTTTCCTGTTTAAAAATGGGAATGTGCAATTGAAGCATTTGTCTGGCTCCATTGCATGGTGCTGTAACCCAGGAGGCTTGTTCAGCGAACGAGCCCGACTTCTGCCTTCCAGGCTCTGAGAGGCCAAGTTCCTGTGGCCTCTGGAAGGCAAAAGTTGAATGCAGTGGGGTTAACGTACCACTTAACGGTTATCGATGAGAGCGCTCGAGGGCAGTAGGTCAGTCACCGTTTTTCTTGTCGTGAAGGTGCGGTTTCGCTGATCTGTACTGAATCGAAAGCCTTCATGGATAGCAGCAGGTGAAATCACGTGTTTCCAGCTGTAGCGTCTTTAAGACGCAGCTAGGAGCAATTTGATTTTTGTGCTGACATATCACAGTGAGACACAGTAATGTAGCTCATCACTCCTCTCTGTTGCCCTGAGGAATGACTAAGGTGACTTGGAGTTTTTCCCCTTCTGCTCTAGTTTCAACTCGAGAAGCTGTATCAACCAAAGGCAGCGCATACGTTGTTAGCAAGCTCCAGCAGGGCAACCGGGAAAGCCGGCCTAATTGGGGCTCCGCCAGGTAAAGGTTCACAGTGCGTTGTGAAAATTGTACTCGAGGTTAAGGGAAAGGGGACAAGACGGGCGTTCGGTACAGGTATTTCCTTTGGCCTTCCAGGTTGAAAAACTCAATCTACCCTAAGATACAAGATTCAGAGCTGGCAACGTTCTCTGAAAGGAGACTAAACAGAGTTAGATCAGAATTAACAAAAATCTTCCTTTTCTGCAAGTTCTACTTCTAACAGTCAGCTTGACTTTGTTGTCATTTTTTATATGCAACTTCTATACATGTGAGACTTAAGGCAATGAGGCCAGTACCAGTAGTGAAGTGCAACAAGTTTGGCTGTTGATTCCATAGTTTCAAGTACAGTGGTGTAAATTCAAAGAATGACTGATGTGTTACTCTGGGCTTTGGGAGTTTGTTACAGGTAAGTGTGAGTCCTACTTTGTTATCCCTCTTACGAAAAACGTTATTCAAATTAAAATGGGGACGTTTAAACAACCTGCAAAATGTTTTGACTGTGTCCAAAGAAACTGCCAAAAACGAATTAACTTGACTTGTATAAACTGCTTTTAGGGAATTATGATTGAAAGGATTGTTTTATGTTAGAGAATTAAATTAACACTGCCTCGATGCCGCACCAGGCTGAAAATGAAGGTTTATATTAATCTGTGCAATGCAGGAAAGAGAGCCCCAATCGGAAGCGCACTTTTCATTTAGCTGGTAAAATTATGCGTGCTGAATATGCAACCGTTAATTAGTACAGCCATACTGTATCTATTCCTGTATATTCGTGTACAGTGAGAATGGAGAAAACCCAGGCAAATGTTGTATACATACTTAATGACACTTGCTTTCGAGAGTTATCAAAACGCACAGGCACCTTTTGAGAGCATGAGAGTCAATCAGAATATTATACGTCAATTGAATGATAACTTTAAATCAGTAGAGTAGGAGGTGATTCTTTTTTTTTTTTTGAGGAGGAAATGAAGCAGTGGTGGAATAGTGAATAAGTGTCCTTTTAAAATGAGTTAGCTTTTAAATGTAGTTATGATTCCTTTGCACAAATAACTATATGGAGGTTTGAGCTGAATGAGTAGAGTTTGAAGCAGCTGAGCTTTTTCGGTTGAGAGGGTTTTTTAATTTTATATATTTTTTTTGTTTGTTTGTTTTTATATGGGGTTGTTCATGTAAGGAATTTGATCATGGGAGCCTTCTAAGTGTCCTTGGTTACCTGGAGCCCTGATCCGCAGCTGCGGTACGCGCTTGCGGGGACGCGGCCAAGTGCCGTCAGCGGCAGGATCAAAACGTCCCGCTGGGGCAGCTCGGCGGTTCCCTCTGGAAAGTCCTTACAGCCCCCGTGCGCAGTGCCACAGAGGAGCGCGCTCGGCCGCGGGCTACGTCTCCGTGCCCGTTAGCCCTTTTGAGGGAAAACGGAGTTTCTTTAGGCGCAGAGGTCCTCTGCTCAATACGTCAAGACCGTCAATGTAACAACAAAAGCTTTATTTTTTTTTAATCTTCAGAAGATTTATGTTTAGAGCTGAAACCTTTTAAAATGAGCTTTCCCTGCCAGCACAAGCTCATTTTTATTTCTTAACTACTTCACGTCTACACCTCTGGATAAAGCAGTAGACGTTTTCCCTCCCCTTGAGGGATTTTCTTTAACAGTCCCGGATTTCAGTGTGGATTTTGAAGCATCGGCTTGGCGGTGGCCTACCTCAGAGAAACGTTGCCTCCTTTCGTTTGGGTTGTTTTTGGTTTGTTGAAGATTGTTTTTTTTCCTTTACCTTTTGAAACGATCATGAGAGCCATAGCCGCGTTTGACAAGTGGGGTTTACACTTTGTTTACAGAACCGCATCAGGTAAAGTTGACCTTTGGGGAAAGAAGAATAAAATGAGGAGGACGGTTTTATTCAGGGTTGTTCCCCCCCACCACCACCACCACCACCACCTTGTCCTCCTTTATAAGGAAATAGGTTTTAGCGAACCTTTTCATATCCTTCTGAAAAAAAAAAAAAAAAAGGATTTTTCTGTCACTGTCATCTTAAAAAGCGAAAAGAATGTATTAATCCTAAAGATCTTTTGGAGAGGGGCGTTAAATGATCCTCACCAGTTCTTGGGAGCCTGCTCCAAGGGGAGTGTGGCTCTGAAATGGGCCATCAACGGGTGCGTATCGTATGAACCCTGCAGAGCTCGGGAGTCGCAGCTGGACCTAGCTCCATGCCGGGCAGGTCGGTCTAGCCGCTCGATTCCTCGTTTGAGGTCGGAGGAATGTTCTCAATTGTTTACATTTATGGTTTCTTGATGAAGTTTTTAAAACGAGCCCGGCTTTGTTCCTCTCCTCCTCCTGCCAACGTACCTGAAGGCGTAGCGTTAGTCGTGAGTTAAGTGTGTGTTGCGAAGTTAAAGCGGGACATCTTACACAAAAGGCGTCGGTCAGAACATAGAAAACAATAAAATAACATTCTGTGAATGAAATATTGTATGTTCAGATTTTATAAGATTTTTTTTTAGCCAGCCCAATTTACAGCCGTATATTTTCTTATGAAACATGTCTAATAACGGGTGCTGTTAACACTATCGTTGGGTTTTACTGTCTGGTGATAAGTGTATACAATATTTCTAAGGGCAACTATGTACTGTGATGTAAAAGTCTGGGCTAAAATGTATATAATCTGTGTACATAATTGTGTACTTGATTACAATTGATTGTAAAGATTTAATAAAATGTAAATATTCTGGTCAAGCTGTACTAAATTGACGCTCGTTTCTGAACTGCCCAGCCAGCTTGCTGGTTTCCCTCGATTTTTAGCAAGGCCTTCGGGAGGGTCTCCCATAGTGTCGCTATGGGAAAACTGGTTAGACACAAGCTGGACAAGCGGTACGAGGTCCGGCTAGTTCCTGTCCTGCCTACCAAGGGGCTTGGAAAGCGGCTTTGCAGGAGAAAAAAAATGGGGGGTCCCAGAGGGCGAGTTAGGAGTGTGCCCCGACTGGAAAGGCTCTGAGCAACCTCATCCAGCTGGACGATTTCAACTGACCTTATTCTATCTATTATTTTTTTTTCTTTAGCATCTGTTTCTGCAATTAAAATGCTGAACTGCAAAAATCCCTCTTAAATACGAGAACTTCTGGTCCCGTTCTCACTGGGATTGAAACAGAACGAGGTCTCTTTTGGGCCAGAAGCGGTAAGTCTCCATCATCCTTCCTGTGTTACGAGTTATTCTGCGATGCGCCTTTACTCCCAGTAGGCTTTTTTTTTCCCCCCCCCCCCCCCAGGGGGGGGGAAAAAAAAAAAAACCAGTCCTGAAAGATGCAGGAGCCCGAGACTTAACTTTGTTCAAGTGTTCATCGTTGTCCTTACAACAACTATTATAAACAAAGCATTGCCTGTTTTGCAGATGAAACGCCCAACTCCTTCCACCTGTGGCTGAGGGGGCGTCAGGAATTAATGGACGGGAGTATTTTGGACAAAGGCGCGCTCTGCCCTGCTGCTCCCCGGAAAGGTGCGTAAGCCTAGATGGTCCAAAAGCGTTCTAAGTCTGCAGGGTATGTCGCAAAGTCGCGCCCTTAAAAACACACTGTACCCCTGGTGCTGAAGCTAACAGGGCTATGGGATTTCATCAGCTCAAGAAGGAGAAAACACAAAAAAGTGCCTGAAGACCCTTCCCTGGAGGCCGCCAGCAGATGGTGGCCTTGGCTCGGGAGGGCCACGCGCCCAGCAGGAACCATCGGAGAGGTCGGTCCTGGGCTGCAGCTCTGTCTGGGACGTGGGTGTGGGAAACTAGCCCAGCTGGGAAACGGCGGCAGCCTCTTGGGGTCTTCCTCTTTTAAAAGAGTAAGTTAGTTATGTTGCCCAGAGTTCTCCTCCCTCCCTCTAGGCCCCCTTTTTTATTTACAAGCTGGGGCTTGACCGTGGCCAAGAGGGGTCTAGGGCCACTGGGGGCCTGGAGCTCTGTCAGTGCAAAAACTCGGGGCAGACTAGACAGCAGGAAGGAAAAGGGAGCGGGTCGATGGTGGTGGGGTCACCTGGGCTGTTCTTGAAGCAAATCCTGGCAAAATGGGTTACTTCTTATGAGGGGAGGGGAAAAAAAAAGAAAAGCCTAATGTCAGCAATACACCATTTCATGAAAAATGAAATGCACCCATTTTGTGAAAACTAGCCCAACCGTGTCCGAGAGGAGCTATATGCACTCAGTTGGAAGCTGGTGGTGGCAGGAGTCCCATATAAAAAAGCTCATGTGAAAAAAACGTTTCCGGCTGAAACAGCTTCCGCAAAACACCCTTTGCCTGGGGAAGTTCAACCAAGCTATTAACCACCGGTGCAGGTTGAATTCGCCTTTATTCCTCTTTTGATACTGGGAACAGCGCGGTGGAAAGAGAGATGCGTGCTACATGAGCGCTTACCTGGGCCTGTTTGCTGGTCCTCTTGAGCCTTTGCTAAAATCGGGCAGCGAACGCCCCGCATGCTCCTCGGCCGCTAAACCTTTGCACGCGCCGGTGCCATCAACGTGCTCCCCCAAACCAGTGCCGGCTAATAACATCAGACGGACGCGGGCAGCGAGGGGTGATGCCGTCTGCCCTAGATGTTTTCTGCAGCGGAGTGCCTGGCTCCCTACATTTATTTTGGGGGTTGACAGGGGTGAGCCGCTTGCCAGCCCAAGCGCCGCTCTGCTAAGTGATGTTGATGCCCTGGTATTATGGCATCATAAAAAAAATGACACAGCTGCTATTTTTAGGCAGCATCTCTCTCCACAGCATCGCCCTGTGACTCATTCGGGGGGGTTTATTAATAGACACATGATCTGAATGCCAAAAACTGCGAGTACCACTCAGTTCCCGCACGCAGCCAGCTCGTTTCTCGCAGCCAGCTCCCTTGAGAACATCTTGTCTCGAGACATTTTCGAGATGGAAAGAACAAATTTCCTAGTCAACGTGCACCTTGGAGGCTCAAGGAGGGAAAAGCACCGTTGCAGCGACACAGGATGCTAATCGTTACTTCCCTGGGCATGCGTTGGACCTGTGCATGTTCAAGGTGATGCCTTGTGTTAATGGCCCAGCTAAGGCGAGGCTCTCACTCGTACCAAACCTTGACCTCAAATCGCAAGTCTCTCGCACTGTTCATCCCGGGATTTGGTCAGGAACGCTACTGGAGAGCAGCGCTAACGGAGTAATTCTGAGTGAGACAAGAAACGATACGTGTCTCAATTTGTTAGCTAGGAAATCGGCACTAGATAGTAACCATCACGTATCAGACGGACCTTCTGCCTCAAACACGCTCCGCTAACCTGCGGCGTGCTTCCTCGCTGCCCTGGCTGTTGAGTACCTGGGGTGAAAACCCCTTGCCATGAGGTCTTGCGCGAGACTGGGTGCCCCACTCCAGCAGCGCTTCCACGCACTGGACTAATGTCGTCTTTGCTAACGTGGCTAGTCCTCCAAAAACTGTCAGCTTTCCCCTAAAACATTCCCTCCACGTTCCTGGCATTGCCGAGATGCTGCTGCCCAGGCTCATCCTAGTTGTCTTTCACGAGGCAGGTGCTGAGTTCACAGTCCCCAGCAGGTCTCGGCTGGACCGAGCCGTCTTCAAGCACAAAGATGGGTCTTACCTGAATGCGTTGGGCAGAGGTGCACAGCTAAACAAAAACCGTCAGTGTTTGTTTTAAAGCAAAGATGCAAACAGACTTCTCTGAATTTTCACCTTTCCAAGCTCAGCTCTGTTAGGATCCGCTTTAGCTTGCTGAACGCTCGCTCCAGCCACCGCAGATGTCTTTAACATGAATTTTCTTTTGGAGGTTACTGAATTTCTCAGGTGCTCGGCCTCAATTTCTCCTCCCCAAACAGGAAAGCAAATAACCTGCCCCTCCAAAACACCGGTGTTCACTCACTGAACACCATAGAAACGTGGTGGTGTCCTCTACTGCACGCTGCCACAACAGCTGGACTTCAGACAAAGCTTTCCATTTTCCCAGGAGTGCAAGTGCTGGCTATTTGCTGCTTGGTTTTGGCCACCACAGATCACTTGTCCAGCCCATGCTTCATCAGTTTGTCTATGAGGATGTCACGGGAGACAGTGAAAGCCTTGCTACAGTCCAGGTGGACAACTGTGATCTGCTCTCCTGTAGGCCGCCAAGCCAGTTGTCTCATTGTAGAAAGATATCAGGTTGGTTAAGCATGATGTCCCCTTCACACATCCATCCTCTCTACCCTCGATCACCTTGTCTTTCATGTGTCTGGAGATGGTTCATGGGAGGATTTGCTCCTTCGCCCTCCCAGGGACCGAGGTGAGCCTGGCCGGGCTGTAGTGCCCCGGATTCCAACACAAAGTGGGATAGTCCCTGGTCCCAAAGGACAAAGTATGGGCTAGCTAAGTAGACAGCGAAATGAAAACTGGCTGAAGTGCTGGGCTCAAAAGGTGGTGATCAGCAGCAAGGTGTCCAGCTAGAGGCCAGGCACTAGTGGTGTCCCCCGGGCTTGATATTGGGGCCAATGCTGTTTCACATCTTCATTAATGACCCGGACGATGGGACAGAGTGCAGCCTCAGCAAGTTTGCAGTTGATACAAAACCGGGAGGAGCGACTGATCCTCCAGAGGGACCTCAACAGGCTGGAGAAATAGGCAGAGAGGAACTGCAGGAAGTTCAACAGAGGGAAATGCTAAGTCCTGCCCCTGGGAGGAGTAAACCCAGGCACCAGTACAGGGGGCTGACTGACTGGAGAGCAGCTCTGCAGAGAAGGACCTGGGAGTCCTGGTGGACAACACGTTGGACATGAGCCAGCCATGTGCCCTTGTGGCAAAAAGAAGGCCAATGGCATCCTGGGCTGCATTAGGCAGAGCACTGCCAGAAGATCAAGGGAGGTGATCCTGCCCCTCCATCAGCCCTGCTGATGTGGGGCGCACAGCTGTGAGGCCACAGCTGGAGTGCTGGGTCCAGTGCTGGGCTCCCCAGTACAAGAGGGGCAGGGAGCTACTGGAGCGAGTCCAACGAGGGGCCACAAAGATGCTTAAGGGCCTGGAGCATCTGTCATGCTCCAATATGAGGTGAGGCTGAGAGAGCTGGGACTGTTCAGCCTGGAGAAGAGCAGGCTCGGGGGCATCTCACAGATGTGTATAAACACCTGATGGGGGAAGTAAAGAAGACAGAGCTGGACTCTTCTCAGTGGTGCCCAGTGACAGGACTGGAGGCAATGGGCACAAACTGAAACACAGGAAATCCCATTTAAACATAAGAAAACACAGTGCCAGAGGGGCTGCCCAGCCTGCAAAGGAATACGGGCCGCCCGAATCCGTGGGACAAACTATAAAACCATTGGGCAGGGACAAAAATACCAACAGTATTTGGAAAGCAGCCTCTCTGCTTTCTTTAAAGCCCATATTAAATGTATTCCTCAGGGGATGCAGGCATGAAACAGCTGGAAGGCTCTTATTCCAAAGACCTAGTGTGTCGACCAGCCGCTTGGGGGGGGGGGGGGTTGAGTCATCTCCAGCTCCAAAACCAAAGTGACAGATAATTACTGTTTTACAGACTTGCTAAAAGTGAAATAGCTGAGAACTAGTTGTCTTGAATCTAATTTTTGCAATGCAACGGCAACAGTTTTTGGAGTTTAAACTTGCCTCTCTAGCGCTTAATCTAGCAATTCATTCCTGTCTTTGGAAGAGTCTCTTAATGCAGGTTTTTTTTTTGTTTTTTTCCTTTTTTTTAAGATAGTTGGCATGCTTCATGGCAAGCACCAGTCATTAGCTTGGGCACTTCTACAGCAATTAAAACGCATGCTGCAAAAAAAGAAGAAGAAAAAATCAAGTTCAGTATTACAGATCGCTGCCTCCCTGCTCTTACACCAGTTGCCCCCATGTGTTGTTGCAATGCAGCAAAGCAGAGCCCAGTCTCCAGTAACAGGCCCCCCCCCCCGGCCTCCTGCACGTCCATGAGACGTGGCTTTGCTGGAGCGGTTGGGATTAGCTCCAAGAAACGCATCCTCAAATGCATCAGCAATGGGCTAGTGCCCGGTTTCTAGAAACGAGGAAGACCAAGACTTCGCCTAGGGCTTTCACTGCTGTCCTCCAGGTCCCGGCGTTGCCAAGAAATCATTCCTGGTTCCTCATACTGTATTTATAGTAGCAGAGAGCAGCGTTTCAGCTCAACCCGGCTCCCAAGTGGAAGTCGCGCCCCTGAACCGCGGAGGAACTCAGCCGGTGCTGAGCGCTGCCCCACGCCCCAGTTTAAGGGGATAACCATGCGTCATTGGTGCTGCTTGGTCACAAGCAGGAGATGCCAGAGGAAGGATGACCATTTCGTCTCGTTGCTGCTCCGCAGCAGCATCACCCAAGGGGTAGCTGCCTTGCAGAGGCGAGCACCTAGAAACGAGTAGAATTTGTCTCTGGATTGGTACAGAAATTTCCCCTTGTCCCTGGAAAAGCTTAGGAAACCAACGCAGAACCACCAGAAACAGAGAGCAAAAGAAAAGTCGAAGAGCAGCCGGCTTTTCCTTGCAACAGCGTGACTGCAACCAAAGCGTAGTAACATCTCATGAATGCCAATAAGCCAACAGCTCGGTGCAGGCATGTGGTGCAAGGCGAAGAGAAGCTCTCAAGGAAAAAAGAAAAAGGCATTAGCTTTTTAGGTGAAAGCTTACTTTCTAAACCCATCCTTAACAGCAGCTACAATATGGAGATGGCCACCGTTGGAAGTAGGGCTTGGCAAAAGCAAAAAACAAACAAACAAACAAAAAAAAAACCCACAGCAAGCTGGACCAAACAGCCTGTGTGTGTGTGGACCTATACACCTCACCAGGCGTAAAAATGAGAAATCGGACACCTGGAGTTCCTCCAGGAGGCTCGCACCAAGCTAAATGCTTCCTACAGCCACTGCACCAAAACTACCTGGGCACCAGGAGCGTTGCTGTTAAAAACTTGAAAGGCCCATGCTGGGACACAACCCCATCCTCAGTGCAGGATCCTGCTAAATTTTGGGCTGTTTGGGCAGACAAGGAAAGTCAGCACAAGTCACAAGAGCACGCAAGGAAAGAACCAGCGTGCCCATGGAAGATGCTTGAGCCCAAAATCTTTTCACTGCAATTTTCTGTAAGACCCCCCCCAGCATTTGACTCAGAGCTGATTAAATATTACTTAAGCCTACCAAACAGAACAGTTTAGCCTTGAGTAATTTTTTTGCTGGTTCCCGTCAAACAAACCTTGAGAAACCCACTTACAAATAATAAGCAGCAGCACATCGTTCAGAAGCAGTTCTCCCTCTTTTCCCACCCCTGCTTTTCCATAGCCCTGAATCTACTTGGTGGGTGTCATTTGGTGGTGCAACTTCAAGGAGAGCTGCCGTTGAAGCTACAGTGATCTACTTCTATTATTATAGCTCTTCAGCTGCATAGAACTGGTCATATATATAGTTAGCCCTCATCAAAATTTCCTAGGACTTTGCAAAGGGGCGGGAGGGAAGAGCAGATGACAGTGCTGCTTCTGGTGCCTGCAAGTGCCTACCAGCTCCATGGCTAAGCTAAATGTTCCCCCCTCCTCCACCACCCGCAGCAGAAGAGCAGAGGCATTTGCAGTTAAGAGCTCGTGCGCAGACTTTTTTCAGCCCACGAGCAGGTTCAGCCTCTCCCGTGTGATGCACAGCTTGCGGCGCGCTCCTGGTAATCTGCCGCTCAAGGGGGTTGATGTCAAAGGCTGGGGAGGATGTCAACGCAGCACTTGAGATGTGTAGAAACCATCTTAGTTCATAGACTGCAGACGCTGGCATCTAGAAAAGGTGGGGGGGGTTTTTTGTTTTTGTTTTTTTTGTTTTTTTTTCTCTCTGCCGAAAGTTTTGCTTCTGTAAGTGCGGCTCCTTTCAACACACCACCAGCGCGGAGCCGTGATTTCCCCCACCCCGGAGAGTTTAGCGGCAAGTCCGGCTGGCTGATAAGCTAAGCCAGAGAGCTGAAAGCCAACGTAACGCAACAGAAACGCCTCAATCCTGTCGGGTGCACGTTAACGGCGGTAACGGCCAGGGCCTACGGTTTGCTGACTTGATTTGACTGGGCAAAAAAGAAGTCCCCAATTCCGTCCCAATTTACTGCACAACCGTAAAGGAAATCACTTTAAATCTATTCGTTGGCCAGCAGAAACTCCACATTAAAGGAGAGTAGCATATTTAAAGGCCACTATATGCCAATAACATAAGATTTTTACAGGAAAATTTATAAATGAGACCTCCGTCATCCAGAAAATGGAGTACACACTAAAAGAAAGGCCCCAATCCCCACCACTCCTATACTATCTTAGAGGGCTTTACAAAGCACTTTCGAGAGAAGGGTTTGTGGGCTCAAATCCCAAGCCTGTTTATTAATTAAACTGCTTAAATAATTCAAACACGCCGTCTCTTAGTGTGGCCACCTGCTTGAGTGCTGCTGACATAATTTACGGGGGGAAAAAAAACATCACAGGCAAGAGGACACAGTTATCACGTCAAGGAATCCGGACCAAATTCAATGCTGCTTCATCACGGAGAAACTAGAGCGGTCCTAACAAGGATGATGTGTTAGGAAGAGCAGGAACCACCCAAGGACTGCATACTGCAGCAAAGCAGGGAGAATAAATATTCACGCAGGTATCAGTCGTCTCCTTTAAAAGAACAAATAAAAAAGGTTGTTTTTTTTTTTTTTTTTAAACTCATGACAGTATTTGTTAAAAATATTATTTTACCCATGGCAAATCAAATACTAGTCTTTCTAAAATCAATACAAGTTTGACATTTGAATTTGGTAAGGATATGGTTTGATATGGTAGATTAGCTGACCTAGTGACCAGCTGCCTTGGAAAGGCACAGGCCCCATGCCCATCCACTCGTAGAGCTTGTCTTACTCCAGCAGAGTGGTCGAGGATGATAAGCCCTGTGCTCTTCACTCCCCATCTCCCCCAGCGCTAGTTTTCGCCTGGTTTAGCAGTATTTGTTAAAAATATTACGTCTTGCTTTTGAGAATATCCTCTCTTTGTACAATATGGAAAAATAAACTCGACAGCACAAGCAACAGCTATCCCCAGTTGGCACCGGGCTGCCTTAAAATACCCGCTCCGCAGAGCCGCAGATGCGAGGGTCGCGTTTGCCTTCCCTCTCCCCCGACTCTTAAAACGTTGCAGCGGATGAACGGTAAGAGACGAGAATACATAAAAACAGTAAAATGTTTATTTTCTTAGAAAAAAAGAGATTCAAAATGATTGTGATCACACTCCCATTCGTGCTCAGCAAAGCCAATACTGCAAGCTTAGTCCTTGATTAAGATACCTATTAAATGAAAACTCTTTTCCTCTTAAAATACAGATTCCTGCTCCTGCATCACTTCCAGTATTTCAGTGATAACATGCTTTTAATGGATAATAGTTTCTCCGCTTCTTCTCCGCAGAGAAACGAGGCCTGCCATGGCAAAACATCCCATCTCCAAAGCTTGAAATCACCAGCATTAATAAGCGCTCGGGCCTGTACGCGGCCTGACAGACAGCTTAAGGGTGTTTCTTAGATGCTTGAATGGTCACTTATGGAAGCCTGGTATAACACTACCTCATTTGATAGAAAACAGGCCAGAAGCCTTAATAAAATCGACACTGTCTTTCAGATTAACCTTAAGGATTTGCTGCATGTCTGGACACAGAAAAAGTGAAAAGTTGCAACGAGTTTTAACTAGCAGCAACGAAAACGGTTCCATACGAGTTCTTAGCAATATTCCTCGTCTGGTCATTAAGAAACACTGTAACTGAATGGAGCATATAATGCGGAAATGATCTTCTTGCGTTATGTAGTGCTGTTCGCTCTAGAAGACTTCCCAAAGGGCTCGACGGGGTTGTAATCTATTTACACAGTAGTATTCCCGTTTCGCTGGGCAGAATTGGCACTATGTGACATCCTCCTCTTCTGAACAATAATCACGACCCTTTAAAGAGAAGAAAAAAAAAAAAAACAGAACAAAACACATGTTTGTAAAGACTACTTGAAAACAGAAAGGACAAAAATCAAGGGGGGGGGTGGTACTTCGAGATTACGTATTTCAGTTCTGTAAACGTGGGAGATTTAAGTTCAGAGCTGAGTAGAAACCTGAAAAAAAGGGAACGGCGTTTGCACGACTCCTGCCTCCATTTCTGGAAGATCTCCGTGAAACCAAAACTGGAACCTGTTCCAATACGGTGAATCGCGCCTCATTTTCATCCTCTCTATTGAATCCCGGGGGGG